CCGCAAGTTGGTTTAAAGTATGAAGTCATCTCCCTATTCCATATGATATTCATCTCCGTAGAAGTGACACAGAACATGATTAAAGAGATTAAAGTAGAAGGTAAGCCTAAATCAATTAGCATCCAACGAAGAAAATCCCAACTAATCTTGTCATAAGCTATTTCCAAGTCTATTTTCATTATAAGGCCACCTGTCTTACCTTGTTTTCTCCTAAGAGAATGAATAGCTTCTTGAACGACAACGGCATTGTTAGTGCAACCTCTCCCTAGAATGAAGCTACTCTGAGTAGGAGAAATAATATCTTTCAAGTAAGGTCGAAGCCTACCCATAATAATCTTCAAGATCAATTTAACAGAGACATAGTAAAGACTAATTGAACGAAGCTGTGATACCCTTTCCCATTGATCCACTTTGGGAATAAGCACGACCAGCACCTTACTACAAGATTCATCAAAATGTCCTGTAATAAAAGCTTATCTGACGAACCTGCAAACTGACTCCTTCACAGTCTCCCAATTTGCATGGTAAAAGCCTGCCTGAAAACCATCCAGGCTTGGAGCCTTGAAAGGGGCCATCGAGCGAAGAGCTCTACAAATCTCATCTTCTTGTGGAATATGAACAAACTCCAATATCTGTCTCTCATCAAAGCCAAACCGAGACTTAGGACAAATATCATCAATATTAGTCGCAATCGAATTCTCCTGGTAAAATTGAATAAAATAATTAATAACCAAAGATTTAAGTTCCGAAGGATCATTGCACCAACTATAATATGCTCTTTTCAAAGCTCTAATCATGTTTCGGCTCCTCCTAATTACTGTGGTTGTATGAAAAAATTTGCAATTTTGATCACCAAATTGGACCCAGTTCGATCATGACTTTTGAAACCAAATCAATTCCTCTTGCGAAAGCACTATATTACACTCCAGGGTAAGACTTTCCTCTAGTCTAAATAAATAAGGATTAGGCCGCAACTCCAAAGCCTTTTGAATCCCATTTAGACAAGTTAGCAAACGTCTTTTTCTCTTAAACATAATTGCCAAAGGCAGACGCATACCATTCCTTGACAGCTGTTTCAAAATCCTTGATATATACATGAAGGTTATTCCCCTCCTTCCGTATATTCCTAATGAAGTCTGAAAAGGAAACATGAGATAACCAAGCCATTTCAAAACGAAATGGTCTCAATCCTTTGTTAACAGGGGTTCTTCTATCTAGCTTAACCAGAACCGGACAATGATCACTTTGGACTCTCGGAAAATTAGTCACAAAAGCTTCAGGAAACTTGCTCCTCCATACTGTATTACATAAAGTTCTACCCAATCTCTTCTTTATCAGATATCCCCCGCCTTGGTTATTAGTCCAGGTAGACCAACATCCCACCAGTACAAGATCAGTCAAAACATCCTGAAAATTTTCCATTCTTCCTGAGCTCTCCTACACCCCCTTTTGCTTTTCCGAATTAAAGATAATTTGGTTAAAATCTCCCAATAACAACCAAGGAATTTGATCAAACTCATCAAATATTTTCAAATAATTCCAAAAAAACTCCCTGTTAGCAAGAGTAATACAGCAGTAAAGGCCCAACGTTCTCCTTCACCGTCCGTGATGAGGATAGAAATAAATTGCCCTGCTTTCTCAAAGACTTGAACAGTTCCAATGCTGTTTTTCCATAACACACAAAGTCCACATGAAAATCCTCTAGCATCCACTTTAATACAAAAATCAAAATTCAATCGTCTAATATCCTTATCACCTTTCGTTCCACTAATCCTAGGCTCAGCTATGACCAAGACATTAAGCCTATGAACAGCAACCAATTCCCTTGCATGCCATAGAAACTCAACACTACCTACACCTCGACAATTCCAAAATAATATGGACATAAGATACTGTTAAGAAAATAAACAACACCGAACCATGTTCAAAGCATCTGTAAATCTACTGGTGGTGGCAAAGCCCCACCGTTCCCCAAATCATTCTTCATAGCCAGGTTTGCTCTATCTGTTTCACTTGTAGAGTCCATCGTTATGTTTTCATCAATTCCACTCAAACCCACCTACTTCTCTACACCTGCTTTTAAAGGCGGTGGATGTTGTCGAGGGAGAGAATTTAGGCTTGTATCAATAAGATGGAGGATTGGATTAAAACCAGGTGAATGCTACAATAAGTCTAACTTTACTGTAAAGTTAATAAATAAATTTTTTAAAAAATAATAAAACTCTGTTTAACAAGTTAACAAGTAAATAATATATATAATTTTTAAATTTATTCATTTTAGAATAATAATGTAAATAATTTTTAAATTTATTTAATTTATTTAAAAATTATTTAAGTTTTAATTTTATTTTAATTTTAATTTTAAATTATAAAAATATTATTCTTTTTAATATTAAAATTATATTCCGATAAACCGCCCTCATTCATTTTGACACCAGCTTGCTTAACATTAGCTGTTCCAAGATTTCAATGCCAAACAAATCTAAACTGCACACCAACCTTAGCTGATTTTTTACTATCATCCCTTTTAGAGTCACTCGTCTTGATTGCTTGCACCTGAGTATTTAATTTATTGATTGATGTAAAATTAAAGAGTAAAGTTTGAATTTTTCTTTTCAAAATCTAAAAAAAAAAAAAACTGTTAATAGCACTAATAATACAAAAATGTATTTATAAACATAAACTAAATAATTTTAATTAGCCCAATATTTAAGCTTAACCTTGAATCATTAATTTTCTCGCTTTGCTTTTGTTCGATAATTGAAAAATAAAATAATTTTTTTATAAAATATTTTATAGTAAAATTTAATATTTTCTATTGTTTAAATAAATTATTGAAAATAATTTTTATTGTTTGAATTATCACGTGAAAAATATTTTCTACTATCAATGGTGAAGTTATTTGGTTATTAAAATAATAAATATGAGTTGATTACAAAACAATGATGCCATTTGGTTTTTATATTAAAATTAATAATGAAAATGAAAATAAAAAAAAATTAATAATAATATTTTTCAAACATTTAAACACATTTTACAATAAAAGTAAGCTATAATTTTCAAAAAAGATTTGCATCTCATATTTTTTCCTAAAACAGTATAAAAATATTAATATTCATCAATTTGTGTAAAACATCCTAAACCTGTATTTGTAAATGTGTATTTACTCATTGAAATATGTTATTCAATTTATAAATAAAAATATTAAATTACACTGGATTATTTTATTAAAAATATTTTTAAAATTTTATTAATATTAAATAATTAAAATTAAAATTTTTTTAAATTAAATATTAATATTCACCAAAGTTGATGAATTATTGGAAAATGTCACATTGGGGGGAGTCATTGATCCACTGGCACATTCCCCTGTAGACACTTGATTTCCGACCCTGTTGAAAACCAAGGGCCACTTGGAAAATTCAAAGCAATGTCGCAAGAGGTCATACACATTCTGATAAGTTTATTCTGATTGCTGTCATCACCCACCAATGAAACCCAACTGGCAGGGAAGATGAAAGGCGAGAACCTTTTTCTTTATTTGTTTGTTTAAGAGAAATTCACAGGAATAGAATTGATTCATGCTTTGTCCCCATCGTTAAAGTCAGCATCAGATTTACATATTACGTTAAATGGAAATTATTTTCATAAGAAAGGGAACTCTCATAAACGGAAGTGCCTCCACTAACTCCGTTTTTCTAAAGAAAATCAATTACTTGGATCCACCCCATCCGAATTTTAAACGATCTTAATTAAAATATTAGTTAAAT